TATCGTCCTAGAAAATCGCAACTTTTAATTTTCCGTCGGCCTTAGCACACGATGTAACTACAGAAGATTCAAGTTTTAAATAGAAAAATATAGAAATGCTTTGGTCATTTTTGAGCAAGATGCTAATGGTCTAATCAGATTCAATGATATATGCTAAGCTGCAGCTAAAAGTGCTACCGCCACACCCGGAGATCGTCTGAATTTTTTTTGAAAACCAGTCGGCAGCAGTAATATTAGACTGCTGTCACTCCGCACGGATCCAATTTACTGTTACGCACTTACTTTCATTTTCAACTGTTTACATTCACTGAAGACATAACCAATGAGGGTTTAGGTGAATAATCACCAAGCACCGCATTTTGACACTTTTTTGCATGTGTTTGACCATTTAGGCAAACACCCCAAGCTAAAAGTTGACTTTACATGTTCCGTCTCTAAACGCATGCACAGAAATCCTTATGAGGAACAGCGCTTTTTTTGTGCTTTTATAAACATGAAAAAAACTAATCAACTTCAATAAATCAAGCACGTATTATTATGCAAAAGTCATGTTACATGATTTTACTGATTTGCACGTGAATTGGGCTTTTATGGAGGACCAAAAGGACACTACTGGAAAGGGGGCGGAATGGGACGCAATAATCATTTTATCTAGGTTACTGTATTTTCATAATCGTAATTATGTAATCATAACCGCCGGAATGAGAGTATAGTGCCTTGCCATATCGTCCTAGAAAATCGCAACTTTTAATTTTCCGTCGGCCTTAGCACACGATGTAACTACAGAAGATTCAAGTTTTAAATAGAAAAATATAGAAATGCTTTGGTAATTTTTGAGCAAGATGCTAATGGTCTAATCAGATTCAATGATATATGCTAAGCTGCAGCTAAAAGTGCTACCGCCACACCCGGAGATCGTCTGAATTTTTTTTGAAAACGGTAAAACTCAACTGTCTAAGGGAGTTGGAAAATGAGCCTATTTTCAAAAATAGTGGAATGTTCCTTTAAAGACAGACTGAACATGGGCTCGCAGATTGTTAAAGAATGGTCTGTGCTTCTGTTTAAGTGACAGTGTGATTTCAAATTAATTTTTAAAAATCGCTTTTATTTGCTAAACTACCACAGCACAACTATACAATCTAGTGCTTAAGTGAATCAAATTTATTTACATATTTCTAATCAAGAAAAAAAAAATAAGACACAACAAATAGCCTCCAAAATATGTTTAACAGTGGGATTAGACCGCACAAAACCATTGAGAAATGAAAACATCAGGAGGCTTACAGATGGCATTTTTGCTAGTATTACGCAACAGTGCACATATGGAATATGGTTGTGTTGTCCCTCTAGAGAGGGTGTCCAACAATCATCATCGCTTCATGGCTCTGGTATTACTCATATGACCTGCGTTATGTCACATGAAATTAATTTACCCTCAGACTAATCACATGATAAGCGCAACTGTGAACGCAAGGAAATTTGTCATTTCCGTCTGACCTGCAGAATATGAAGGACCCAAAAAGCAGCCTAAACGTCATAATATGAAGTTAACCGCACATTTAATTTCTAAATAAGTTCATATTTAACCAAAGTGTCACTAGATACTTGACTCGACAAATATGCAACTAGAAGGCCATGTTTCTATGCAGCTATAATTAGGATAGTTACCCACTAAGATGCAAAGTACATGGCCGCATGCTTTTGTTAGCACTTTTCTTTTTCTAAGGACAACACATGTTCGATATCTCTCAGGAAATCCAAAAGTACTCCTCTCCTTGGAGTATCTCCAAAGGACGTGCTAACCCTGCAGAGAAGATGGGCCACCTCAGAGGAGCTGTCCTGCTTCCCTGGCTTAAAATATCACGTTTAGTCACGCGCACACAAACACACTGAGACGCAGATGCCTGTATGGATAAAGCCCTATGCACTCAGCTGATTGGTGTTTGCATGTTGGAAAGGACTGTGATGGCACCTCCAACATAATTATGAAATTGCTATACTTGATTTGTGATAATCCTGAGACAAGAGCCCAACAAATAGCTACCACTGCCAAATGACTCTTTTCGCACACCAAATAAACATCAACACGTTCAAAACTGCTAAACCAATTATTTAAAGCTCATAATATAGAGGATAGTGCAAAGACAAAGTCTACACTGGAAGCGTACAATGCACACCACATCATAAACATCAACTATAAATCATATTTTACAAAGTTATGCTAATATAGTACAATGCTTAAAATATTATGTATGTATCTGTTATTTTAGTGTCATTGAGATGCTATTAAAGTTTTTATTAACATTCTAATATCAGTTTTTATACTATAAATTATTTTATTTTCTGTTTTCATTTTAATTTCAAAGTTTTAGTAATTTTGTTCTATGTTTAAGTATACACACGTCTATATACTTATTTATTTTTTACTTCAGTTTTAGTTACTTTAGTACATAAAGTTAAAATAAATTAAATAACTTTTGATGGTTTTGATTTTCGTTTTAGTTTTAATTTACTATAATAAGCCTAAAGTAAAGTAAACATTATCGGGAAATGTACACTTGGTCATTTTATTAATTTATCTATTTATTTCATTTTTTTATTTAATTGAATGTTTTATTTTGCTTTTTGTTTTATTTTATGCAATACCGGCATCAAGGATTCTTTTCATGGCAAAAACAGGGTAAAAACGGTTTACAAATTAGCTAGATCAACAAATCAATTATTAATTATATTTAAATAACACGACAAACATTATAAATAATTTATCAGTAGATTAATTTTGTCTGAGATTGTTTAGGTGCACCTAAAAATTACAAATTCTTGTTTTCCTGTTGTTAGTTCCTAAGTACTCTTTAGATAAAAAATGAATTCATTGTCCAAAGACGTTAAAACAGCAAAGCTTCAGGTTTTTGCTATGTGATCACAAACAGACCAGATGTAAATGCCCTTTAAAACATATTTGAGATGGATAGTAAATCGCATGCAAATGTATTGAGCTTTTCCAATCGGATCACAATCAAACTGAAGTGACCAAGTGTAAACAACAAACAACAACAGACAACATCCAAATGCTAATAAATAACAATTATCTCATTATAAAAACCCAAAAGTACAGAATTGTACGTGTCATTTTGAAATCATCAGGTCTTTCTCCCATTTTGACATTCAATGTAAATTCAATTAACGTTTATTTGCATGGCGTTACAAATCGTTGCAAAGCAGCTTCACAGAAAATTGTAATTTCTACATTACATTTAGGAGTAGCTTATCAGCAGTGGTGTATAACGTACCTAAAAGCCATACTCAAGTAAAAGTACAGATATCTTACCAGAAAATGACTTTGGTAGATGTTGAAGTCATCGTTTAGAATATGACTTGAGTAAAAGTCTTAAAGTATGTGATATTTATTTTACTTAAGTACGAAAAGTATTTTTATAATCTTAAATGTACTTAAGTATTGAAAGTAAAAGTACAAGTAAATGCAAAATGGAAAAGAAGCAAATAAATTGTATTTACACAGTTTAATGTATCTCAGAGGGGACATGGATACATTTAAACTGCAGTTACAGATGCATAAATAATGTTTTGTTTTTAACATAAAACGTTCAATACTGATATTTGAAATTGAAACATGACGAAATGTGAAATTAAAACTGCCAGTAGGTGACAGCAAGTGACTGTTAATGAGTGAGTCATTGAGATTCAACCGATTCATTTAGAAACAAAGCATTTGACCGTGTTAATGAGTGAATCACTGAATCATTTATTCAACCGATTCATTCAAAAAGCTGATTCATTTAATAAGTAAACACCGTCTCAATTGCTCAGAGATGCAAAACAGTGCTGTGATATTGTTTGGAACTATTTTCGTTGGCAAAATTGAGCAAAACAAGCAATATTATGTCTAAAATGTAAGTCACTTATTGCTTTACTGAACTTGTATAAAATTATTATTAAATGTGTTCATGCTGATATCTGTGTTCATGCTGATATCTGCAGAAAAACAGTACTCTTTTCGTGATATAGATTAAGTTAACTATATTAAATTATATACATATATAAAGCATACAGAAGCATTTTTGCCATCCCCAATTGAGAATGCCTGGAATTTTGAGTTTTAATAGACTAATAAATCAACGTGCGTGCACTCTGTGTGTGATTTGGTGATATAGCCTACTTGATAATGTCAGATCGCACATCATTACAGCAACACTTACCATATTATCGCAGACGATGCTGTATCACACACCCCAGACTCGACTTGATTGGAAAATTAATAATTTGCGGTTGTGCGCGCACTTGTTTGCACGTGAGCAAAGGTGTTTTTAGGAGTCTAACTTGCAAACGCCAGACCACTGATTTGTCAAACCTGCTTTCCTGCAGTCCGTGTTCTTCTGACTTCTGTTCTGACTATTTTGTACTAAGTAACGAATATGCTTCGGGGAAATGTATCAGAGTAAAAGTATACATTTTAATTAGGAAATGTAGTGGAGTAAAAGTAAAAGTTGGCTGAAATATAAAAACTCAAGTAAAGTACAGATACTCCCAAAATATACTTAAGTACTGTAACAAAGTATTATTACTTCGTTACATTACACCACTGCTTATCAGTAGTGACTATGTCAAGGTGATGTCCATATGGCAGATATGTTACTTAGTTAAGGATGTGTATTCAAACAAACGTTGAACACTATCAGCAATGATTATATGTTGTGATTAAACTTATAGAAAAATATGGTAGTTTTGTATGTTGGTTCAAGGTTGGCATCATCTGAGGTCCTCCTATGAATACTGACATGATGCAGAGATGCGAAACTAGCATAAAGGATGGGTTTAAAACATTTATGGACTGATAAAATAACATTTAATGCACAAGTAAGGCTTATATCCGCTTATGGTGTTAGATATGAAATTCAACCCTGCAGGGTGTCCATCCGCCAGTTAACCACAGCAAAAAGGCTTGAGAATATAAAGAAAGAACAAAAACACATTTAACTTACAGCTCGAAAAGTTGGAGATTCTGAAAGAGTTGCCATGAGAGAGTTGTCAGAGGGTTCCCGGACAAGTTTCTGCAGAGGAGAAAAAGAGAGAGAGAGGGAGAGTTTAATGATTTAACACTGACTATTTGCGACAAGGTGATAAAGAAAACACAGGAGAGGCAAAGTACGGCAATGTGGTGACTGGCCCAAAATTAAGAGAATAAGTGCAGCGGTACGGTACCTTGCAGCCTCGCCAATCCAATAAACAGAGACTTGGTCATTTTCAAGACAACAAATTAAATCGAGGAGAAGGAGGCCTGGAGCCTTAAAAGCCACTAAACTCAATACAATGCTAAATGACTGTGAAGCAGATAAGGCATGTTTTCAGAACAGAGCTTTTAGATTTGGGAGGCCGAGATGGAAGCATTACTCCAAAATAGAAGTGAGGGTCTCTAAATGATGTTTGTGTCAAGTCCAGTAACTAATACAGTGGGATGAAAGGTATTAGGTGTACAAACTTGTTCAAGTTTTCACAGAAGGTCTTCTTAAAGGTTGAAGTTAAACTAAAAGTAAACACCTTTTCAGTACTTACAGTACATGCACAAATACACATGGCCTTGTGGGACGGCAGCAAGCAATGCCTCTCCTGGGGCTGAAACAAAAACCCTGGAGCCTCACTAACAGGCCTTCATTATCAATATTTATTGAATACTTCAGATCACTTAATACCCCAACACTGGCCCGCTCAGATCCTATCAGGAGCAGTTGACAGATAATCAATGCGCCCAGATGCATCCTTTCGCCCCAGTGCAGCCCAGGGGACCGAAGCCTGCTGGCTGGCTGGCCGTCCCTGACCCGTTCCTTCACCTGCATTTTATTACTGACAGCAAAACAAAAGATCATTACAGCTAACCAGAACAACTGTACAGAGAACAATAGAAGCCGAACCCTATCAGCCTGCATGCAAATCTGGGCCTGTATAACCTGAGATAACCAAGTTCAAGTAAAGTAAAGTGAGTAAAGTAATGAAATCAAAAATAATGATTTTTACTTATGTTATTGTGCACAATTTTAGTCTTTTACACTGTAAAAGTAAATAAATAAATAATATTTCATATATTTTTATATTTTTATCAAATACATGCAGCCTTGGTGAGTCTTCTTTCAAAAATCATAAAAAATTTTGAAATTAAAACGAGTTTGAGCATTTATATTTATAAAAATAAGCCAAGTAAATGTTTAATTAAATACCATTTTATTAAAAAATAAATATAATTATGAAAGTAAAAGGGTTTGTAAATACTGTTATTAAATAAATAAATACATTTTCTACATTTTAACTACATTATTTTTTTCCATAAAGTTAATTTATAACATACAGTTTTTGGCACCTACGCTCGTAAAAATAAAATGTACCAGCAGACAAAAATAAGAACCAAAAAGAGTTTTCAAAACAACCATAGAATAACGTTTTTTGTTTGCCCGCGAATAAAGAATCTAAGAATACTTTCCACAAAAACTGAACATGTGTACTTGGAATGGTTCCACTTATTATTGTAAAGTTTCTTCATGGGGGGGGATCATTAGAGAAGGTCAGACAAAATGGTTTACATGACCATTATCTACCTTTTTTCTGACCCTTCCTACTGTGTCTTTATGATATCAATACAGTATAAATGACCTCCATTATGACTGAACTAAATATCAACTATTTATTAACTATTACAGATAGAACATATAAACAAAGAACATCGCATAATATAGACATAATATTAGCCAAGAAGGTAGACATTTTTTTTCTGTAGTTAACATATGCCTGAACAGTTCTTCAAATGTGTCAACTTTGTTTAGCAACCCCAGCATGCATATTTTTGTAACTAATAAAGTCATAATAGGAAAAAAACAGAGCTTAAATGGCCCTTTTGGCATATCATGGTACAAAGTTGTAAACAAGGTGTGCTTCCTGGAGAGTTCTTGAAAGGAACCAAGTGAAACGAAAAAACCCACTTGTTGGATATGTTGAAGATAAAGTCGCTTCAACATGCTAATGTGACTAATCTGAATCTGCTTAGCGGGTCCCTAGTGTGGCGCATAAGGAATCTCCAGCAGCAAAAAAAAAAAAATTTTAATAAATAAAATAAACCCATGCTTGCTGATCTGACTTGTTGCCATAGCAACTTCAGCCTGTGAATCCTCACACTTTCTTTTCTCCCCATTTCCTGTGTCGCAGCATGAGAGGCAGGAACCAGCTAACCAGTGACGGAGAGCATAAGCACAGCTGTGAACGCAAGGAAATTTGTCATTTCCGTCTGACCTGCAGAATATGAAGGACCCAAAAAGGAGCCTAAATGTCATAATATGACGTTAACCGCAACTTTAATTTAAAAAGAAGTTCATATTTAACCAAAGTGTCACTAGATACTTGACTCAAAAAAATATGCTAACTAGAAGGCCATGTCTTGTACTCAGCTAAAATTAGGATAGTTACCCACTAAGACAAGGCGAAAAGGTATACATTGACAAACAAAATAACCTTCGGTTCCTCAAACGAAAGTTTCTCGGTAACGCACCCACTCCTGCTCCGCTTGCCCCCGGCATTCTAATCACCTCATTAAATTGATAATGAGATTATTAAGGTGGCCTCCACAGGGACATACAAGGGCTCCGTATTTTGGTGGGGACATTATTATTCTTAGCACACAATAGAAGAGTTCATCTGGAAATGTGGGCTGTAAAGGAAGGGTCTGGGGGATCAGGACGACTAAACCCGAAGTGCTGTCCGTCAAGGCTTGATTCCACCTCACACAATAACAAATCTGCAATGGAAAAATGACTTTCAAGGACTTCAACAGCTGTGGGAACCAGACCATGAATAACAGAAGATTCTGAATATTGCATATTGAAGAAGCGGTTAGCCAGTCTGACGTATTAACAGAGCTATAAGTGATTTTAATGTTTTTAAAAACGTTAGGAGAGGAGAGAGTTGAGGAGAGAGAGATAATAGAGTCATTAAAAAAAATAAAACATTATAGGCACAAAAACAAAAATTTGGATCTGTGTAATACATTGCTAAATACAAAATATTAAATACAAAATACAGAATACAAAATACTTGAAATACTCAATTAATTTTAATATTTCCAAAACCTAGAAAGACAAGTAAATAATCTCATGTGATTTTCAAATTGCATTGTTACCTGCAACCTCAACTCTTTTACCAAAGTTATTGTATTAAAAAATATAATAATAATAATAATAATAATAAATTATTATTAGTAGTAGTAGTAGTATTCATTTTTTATTTATTTATAAGAAATGTAAGCTCATCAATAACTTCAAACCAACATTTGGTTTGGCTGAAAAAGTTTACAAACAAACAAACAAACAAACAAACAAACAAACAAACAAACAAACAAACAAACAAACAAATAAATAAATAATATATATTATTTTTATAATACAATAAAATTATAATTTATATAAATATACTAATAAATGTTTTATTATTATTATTATTAAATAATGACTTCAAAATAAATATGATTACAACATAAGGAAAATGCTTGAATTGAAAATAATAAAAAATTATACAGTACAGTACAGTCACAGTACAGTATTTCTGTAACAGGGTTGCTGTTAATATGATATTGATAAAATAGAAAAATGAAAAACAGAGAAGCAAAAAGAACACTGCGAAAAATCTTGTTTGATGTTTAGTTAACAAAAAGCTTCTGAAGGTTAAGCACCTACTTTCACTGACCAAAATAAATAAATAAATACAAATAAATAATAGATTCAGTTCAGGCTCTATTTTGTTGGCTATTCATGGAGAATCCCATTTATTCAGAAGCAGAAATATTCACCTCTGCGTTCATGTTTTTATTCTCATAAATTGTAATTCAATGAGAATACGACATAGATTTCCAAAGAAAGGAAAATAATCACACACGCCGTTAGTTTGAAAATAGAGCACAATAAACAAAGATGTGTGTGAACCGTCTTACTCCCTTGCGGGAGTTAACTCCCAAATAAACCCTTTCAGATCGTCGCAGACTATCAATTACGGTAATGACTTTCAGAGAGGAACAAGGCTTGGGTGATTGGCGAATGAGAGCAGGAGCGTCTTTAAATGTTTCCTGTTAGTCGGATAACGGCTCTACGTGTATATGTTTACACGCCTACGTGTACTTGATGCACATGTAAAGGCGGAGGGGGTCTCTCCGTCTCTCTGTGTGCCTTTGCATACGAATAATGTCATTACCATGTCATCTATTTGGAGTCAGGCACATGTGGGACGTGGGAAGGAGGGTTAAGGGCCTTATTGAGACAGATCATTCACCCGCATTAGCATAGAGAGAGAGGAATTATTGAGTCCCTCTGAAAGCTTCATTAGCTCCTAACCAGACATTGTACTCGCCAAGCACACGCTTCCATGCGCTCGTTTCTGATGTTCTCGGGTGTGTGACGGACAAACTCGGTGACGGCGATGACGACAAACACGTCAGCAGAAGCGCATGACATGAAGGCCTTTTCATGAAGCACCACAAACACATAAAAGCCCACCTGGGCTTCACTTGTCTGCAGCGTAGCGAAGCTGCTCGAACTGCCATCCACGTTCAGGAAGTGTCCTTTTCAAAGGTCATACTTCGTTACAGTCAGAAGAAATGTCTGCTAAAATTGGATTTGGAGAAGAGGCAATAAAGAAATAAATAATCAAATCACACATCAAATGTGACAAGCAACCTAAATACAAAGGTTGAGATTATTATTAAAGATGGAAATAGATGATATCTTTCTGAGAGTGCCTTCAGAAAGCCAAATTAACAGGTGATATTTACCCTGATAGCAGCAAATAAATTCCTTTGTTAAATGGACAGTGTCAGTAACCAGTCTAGGGCAAGCTAATCGAGAAATAGCTAAGATTCTAAGCTACCAATAGAAAAATCAGCTAAGCTAATAAGCTAATTATTACTATTATGACTATTATTGAATGTATTAGATACTCAAGACAAGATTAGACACGCAATGGACAAGAACACTCAAAAATAGCTTAGATGCTGAGCTACCAACTGCTGTACATAAACATTAGCTAAGTCGAAAGCTAGCTTTTAGAGAAGCTACAAGAAAAACAGCATGGCTAAAGTAGCTTGTTACTTTCAAAACATAAAAATAATCATGATCTGTACAAAATTAGCAAACTAAACAAAACAAAAAACCTTCATAATTCAATAGAAATCTATGTTGACTATGATAAAGAAAGAGTGGTCAAAAATATAAAGAA